CTATGAAAAAAGAGACTGGTTAGTAAAATAAAGTAATATAGGCAACAAAAAAAAAAAAGATACTTATCTAAACAATCTAGCAACACAATGCAACACTAACGAGTCCCAGCAAAAGAGCAAATTGAGTACCAGTAAAAGTGAAATCCCAGAAAAAAAGCAAAGCAAAACACCAAAAAAGCAAATCAAAGCACGAAAAGAGCAAAGCAAAGTACGAAAAGAGCAAAACAAAGCACCAAAAAGCAAAGCATCAGAAAGGCAAGGCAGTAGCAAATCGGAGCACTAGCAAAACGAAGTCCCAGCAAAAAAGCAAACACCAAAAAAGTAAAGCACCAGTAAAAGCGAAGTTTCTGCAAAAAAAAAAGCAAAGCAAGCACCACTTAATGTCACCAGCGAAATAATGATACAAAAAAATTGAAAGTATTCAGGTTAGTAAAATGAACTAATATAGTTAAAAAAAAAAAAAAAACAATACTTATCTAGACAACCCAGCAATGCGATGCAATACTAGCAAGTTCTAGCAAAAGAGCACAAACAAGCACCAAAAGGTGAAGCAGCAGTAAATCGAGCCCCAGTAAAAGCGAAGTCCCAGCAAAAGAGCAAAGCAAAGCACCAAAAAAGTAAAATATCAGAAAAGCAAGGCAGCAGCAAGCAAAGCACCAGTAAAGTGAAGTTCTAGCAAAAGAGCAAAGCAAAGCACCAAAAAAGTAAAATATCAGAAAGGCAAGGCAGCAGCAAGCGATGTACCAAAAAGCAAAGTACTAGCAAAAGAGCAAATACTAGAAACCAATACCAGTAAAAGCGAAGTTCTAGCAAAGCATTAGAAAAGCAAAGCACCATTTAATATTACCAGCGAAAATGATGACACAAGAGAATTGAAAGCATTAACAAACAACAATGTGTCACCTGCGGAATGCACATAAATGTCACGATACTAGCTAAACTAAATATAATAAACAATGTCAATTACAACAAATTACGGCACCTACGATGCAGACCAGCAAGAACAAAATGACGATAATTATAACACCAATGACGAAGCAATACTATAAAGAAGAAAAAAGAAAATGCTTAGTAAAAAAAAAAAAATGCAAAATCAATATAAAAAAATACTTATGCATG